CAGTAGAATAAGGCAAGAAAAATAAATAAAAGGCATCGAGACTGGAAAGACGACATAAAACTATCTTTACTTGCAGACAACATGATCACATAGACAATCCTAAGAATCTATGAAATTGTTATTAGAACTAATAAATTTAGCAAAGTTATAAGGCACAAAGACAAAATTCAATTTTGGTTTAACAGAGTAGCAGAGCATAATCAGGAAATTTACAATAGCATCAAAATATACAGGAATAAACTCAGTGAACAATTTCAATAATTGTACACTGAAAACAATAAAACAGTTCAAAGAAAACCAAATGTTTATGAACTGCAAGTCTCAATGTTGTTAAGCTGGCCCAAACTGATGTATAGATTGAGGTAAACCCTACCAAAATTCTAGCACCTACTTTGAAGAAACTGAGAAGCTGATGCTAAAATTAATTAGTAAAGGAAAAGACCTAGAATAGCCAAAACTGTTTTGAAAAAAAAAGTTAAAGAATTTATATTACCTGATTTCAAGAATTATTAAAGCTACAGTAATCAAGCCAATATAGTATTAGCATAAGGATAAACATATATAGATCAGTGGTACAGAACAAAAACTCCAATAATAGACCCTAGCACTTTATGGTCAATTGATTTTTGACCAAGGTGTCATGGTAATTCAATGGGGGAGAAAGACAGTCTTTTCTACAAATGGTGTTAGAACAACTGGATAACTGTAAGCCTTGACCCTTAACTCACAACATTCACAAAAATGAACACCAAACGGATCACAGGCCTCAACATAATAGCTGAAACTATTAAACTTATAGAAATCATAGAAGTCTTCATAGCATTAGGTTAGTAAAGATTTCATAAACACAAAAACCTCAAGCCATAAAGAAAAAAGTGAAAAAGTAGACCATCAAAATTAAAAACTTTTCACCTTTGAAAAACAGTTAAGAAGATAAACCATAGACTGGGAGAAAATATTTGTAAAATATATATGTGAAAAAGAGATTGTATACAGAATATAGAGCATATAAAGCACTCTTACAATTCCATAACACATACAAAAGAGCCAACAATTCAATTTAAAAATGGGCAACAGACTTCTCACAAAATAAGAAATACGGGTGGCAAAAAAGAATAGAAAAGATGTTTAACATCATTAGGGAAATGCAAATTATAACCACAACGAGACAACACTAGACACCAAGTAGAGTGCCTAAAGAAAACAGAGAGCAAACGATGGCAAGGATGCAGAGTAAGTGAAACTCTCATACAGTGTTAATGGGAATGAAAAATGATACATCCACTTCATAAAACTGTTTAGTAGTATCTTACAACATTAAACATGCATTTACCATATGACCTAGCACTCATCTTAGGTACCTATCCAAAAGAAATGAAAATTTCTTCTACAAAAACTTGTTTAAAAATGTTAATAACATCATTATTTGCAAAAGCCAAAAACTGGAAGTGTAATTCAAAGTCCATCAGCTGGTGAATGGATAATGGTAAGGCCATACTATGGAATACTATGTAACAACAAAAAGAAACAAAATATGCACAACATATTTGAATCTCTAAAACATATGCTAAGCAAAAAGGGAAAAAAGATATTTGCAACTCTGATCATAGACAAGGGGCTCACTTTCAAACTGTAAAAAGCTCTTAGAAATCAAGGAGAAAAAAAGGACCAACAACCCAATAGAAAAATGGCAAAGGAAATGAACTGTTCATTGACCAAAAAACAAGATCAAATGGCTCTTATCTAAATTTAAACAATGCACAACCTCACTGACAAGAGAAATGCATAAGTTAAATTATACTGCGAAACCATTTGTCACACACAGGACTGCCAAGAATTCAAAGAAATACCTAATGTAGATGACAGGTTGATGGGTGCAGCAAACCACCATGGCACATGTATACCTATGTAACAAACCTGCACATTCTGCACATGTATCCCAGAACTTAAAGTGTAATAAAAAAAATTGTCCTATGAAGGATACATGGAAATCATCTCATACATTTCTAGTGGACAAGTAAATGGTATACTCCTTACAGAAAACAACCGGACAACATTTGCAAAATTACAAATACATTAAACTTCTACCCAACAGCAATTCCACTAGGAGAAATTTATAAATTCATATATACATGAAATGACATGTACAAGGTTTATCTGTATAGGAATACTTTTAATAGGAAAAGATTGTAAATCACTCAAATCATTGTCAACAGTGGATGGAATGGTTAAATAAATTATGATATATTCAAAATGTAAAATATTATGTATGTATCTATAAAAAATAAGAGTTCTCTCTATATTAGAAAATATTCATTAAACACTTTAAATGAAAAAAGCAAGAAATAGAGCAGTGAGTATGGTATGCTGTATTCTATGCAAATAAGAGAGGTAAGAATTTACATATTCATAACTGTTTGCATATGCACATACAAACTTTGGAAAGACATGCAAAACTATAAGAATAACTACTTGCTAGAGTGAGGAAAGGGAGGACAGAGTACTGGAACAGAACACATTTTATTTTTTTTTAATTTTTGCACAATGAAATACATTACCTCTTCAAAAAACATTTTGTGAATTAATCAAAATCAAGTTTGATACGAAAATAAAAATATCACACTAAAATGATATGCAGCAGACAGTCACAAACTTGGGAGTGATATTTACAATTCAAAAACCTAAATGATTAATGTCAAAATACATAAAAAACTCCTAAAAATCAGTGAAAGAAAGCAATCCAGTGGTGAGGTGGAAATGAACAAAAGAGATGGACATACACTTCACTGATGATGACACAACAATCAATAAACATGAAACAATACTGAACTTAATAATCAGCAGAGTGAAAAGTAAACCCATGAGGTATATTATTCTCAACTAGATCATTAAAAATGTAGGTATAATAATATGAGCTGCTGGCAAGAATCTAGGTCCAGGTCAGCAAACTGCAGTCTATAAGACAGGCTCCTGTTTTTGTAAATAAAACTTTACTGAAACACAGACACGAGTATGGTCTATGGCTGCTTCCTAGCTACAAAGGCAGACTTGAGTAGTTGTGACGGAGACCTAAAGCATTTACAATTTGGCACTTTAAGAAAAAGTTTGCCACTTCCTGAGAGAGATTGATGGGAACACCTAAACACTATTGGTAGGATGTCAAGTAGTTCAATCACTTTGTAAAACAGTTTAACAGTACCTACTAAAGCTGAATATATAATGGATATACACAACAATTGTTATAGGAGCACTGATTTTATTAGCAAAAACCAGAAAACAAATACCTATTAACAAGAGAATGCACAAATAAACTGAGGTACATTCAAACAACGTAACAGTGCATGGCACTGAAAATGAAGCAACTATAGCTATATGCATCAATATGAGCTGTCATAAATAAAATACTGAGAAATGATAAGAATAAAGTTGTCAAAGAAAAAATATAGTATGATTCCATTTGTATAAAGTTGAGAAATATGCAGTATCACATATTATTTTCAGAATGCATACATGTGGTAAAACTGAAGTAAAGGCATAAATTGATAAACACAAAATTCACGATTGTTAAGTATTTTCTGCTGATAGCAAAGAGGACAGATTTGGAAAGAGGAACAAAAAATGCTGCAAAGGTATTGGCAATGATCTAATCTTTGTTGTTGTTGTTGTTGAGATGGAGTCTCACTCTGTTGCCCAGGCTGGAGTGCAGTGGCCGGATCTCTGCTCACTGCAAGCTCCGCCTCCCGGGTTCACGCCATTCTCCTGCCTCAGCCTCCCAAGTAGCTGGGACCACAGGCGCCCGCCACCTCACCCGGCTAGTTTTTTGTATTTTTTTAGTAGAGACGGGGTTTCACTGTGTTAGCCAGGATGGTCTCCATCTCCTGACCTCGTGATCCGCCCGTCTCGGCCTCCCAAAGTGCTGGGATTACAGGCTTGAGCCACCGCGCCCGGCCCAATGATCTAATCTTTAAGCGAGGTAATGGTATCTGTAGTTATTGCTATTCTGTATGTCTCAATATATACAAATATCCTTTAATATGAATTTGATATTCAATAACTTTCAAAACTCTTCTAGAAGAATAAGTCAATAATGAAGAGACTAAACGCTGCAAAAGTGTTAGTTCTCCCCATTTAATTTACAAATAAGATCCCAATAAAAGAAAAAGCACACTGAAGTAGAGAAGATTATCTCACACTAGCCCCTCAGCAGTACTGTGTGACTTAATGCAAGATGGACAGATAATAAACAAAAGGCATTTTTAAAAAACATTATTCAAATGTAAAGGATAATCTTCTAAAAAAATTTTTTAAAGTTAAAATGGGAAATCACTGGAAGTAAATTTGATTATTATTCCTTACTAAACTCACTTTCCAATACAAGATATACAAATACGAAAAACAACTTCAGAAATTTCTCCTAGAAATTTCCATTCCCATAGTGCATCTTATCAAGAAAATCGGAAAAACGTATTTATTTTTACTCCTTATGTTCTTAAAATGACCTAAAAGGATATACAGAAATAAATACCTCCTCCAACAATAAAGGATTAAAAACAAAATAAAGAAGAAACTGAAGAATAAAATTAATAGTAAAGCCATAATGAAGGCTAATACATAAAAGCAAAATCATAATGATATATTATATACTTTTTTTGGCTGAAATTGGGTTCTGAGTTTGCAATCAAGTACCGCAAAGAAGAAAACACAACCAGTTACGATAGTTATGTTCATAAACTATCTGCTCAAGGGCCATTATCAATTTTTCTTGATATTGATTCCAGAGAGATGTATATCCTATGAATTTTATAGAGGAAAACTGAAAGAAAAAAAATCAACCAACAAATTACCAATATACACAGGAGTTTAATAAAATGAATGGTTTATTAGGGGACCAGGAATTGAGGAAAATACATAAAAATAATTTGCAGTAAAACTATTAAAGTGATTATTGATGTTACTTAATATTCAACATAATACTCAGTAATCATATTAAGTTTACTGACCTTCCTGAATGCTGATGTCCACAGTCACACCAGAAGATGGATGCAGAAGTTTTTGGTAATTCTGTGCATTTTGGTCAAATAACTGCACAAGAAGAGCACATGTCTTTTCATATTCACATCTGCTGACAGTGCACAACTGCTCCAACTGCTGAAACACAGTGGCAGTATCATCCAGTGGATCATCTAAGTGATCTCTGCAAACACAGAGTAAGTTTGCAGACAGCATTAGAATGTGAAGGACTTTTATTCACCACAAGTAAACTTTACGTTAAATAAAAATTCTATAATAAAGGAATAAAAGACAGAGGCAGGAGGATCACCTGGGGCCAGGAGTTTGAGAACAGCCAGGCCAACATAGTGAAATCCTGACTCTAAAAATACAAAAATTAGCTGGGCATGGTGGCACACACCTGTAATCCCAGCTACGCAGCAGGCTGAGGCATGAGAACTGCTTGAACTTGGGAGGCGGAGGTTGCAGTAAGCTAAGATCACGCCACCGCACTCCAGCTGGGGTGACAGAGCGAGACTCTGTCTCTAAAAAAAACAAAAAAGAAATAAAAAATGAAATGTATTAGTAGGTAAAAAATAAAACTGTCTATATCTCAAGATGGCATGATTATGTAAATAGAAAATATTTTTAGAAACACAAAAATGCTATTCAAACTAATAAGTAAGTTTACTAAGGTCATAGCATGCAAGGTCAACGTACAAAATGATGGGTATTAGTATATATTGGCAGTGAACAACCAGAAATTGAAATTTAAAAAACGGTAGGCAATAGGAAACATAAACTATCAATTAAATCTACCTAAACGTATGCAAGATCTTTAGGCTACAAACCATAAAACGTTTGATGAAAGAAATCAGAGAAGAGCTAAATAAAAGATAGACACGCTCAGAGACTAAGAGACTCAATATTGTTGAGATGTCAATTCTTTCCCCAAGTTAATCTATAGTTTCAATGCAATCCCAGTCAAAATCCCAGAAGAACTTCTTTGTAGAAACTGAGAAACTGATTCAAACATATATACGAAAAAGCAAAGAAAGGAGAATTGCGAAAACAATTTTGAAAGAGAAAAGCCACTTACAGAACTCATACTATCTGGTTTCAAAGCTTATTATAAATCTAATCAAGACAGGGTACCGGTGAAAAAACAGACACATAGATTAATGAAGACAGAGTCCAGAAATAGAACTACATGTATGTGGTATATTAATTTCTGACAAAAGCATAAAAACAATTCAATGAAGAAAGGATAGTTTGTTACACAAACGATGTTGAAATAACTGGTCAGCTATATGCCAAAAAAAAAAAAAAAAAAAAAAAAAGGAAAGAACTAGCCTTATATCAGCTAATACACAAAAATTAGCCTAAAAGAGATCACAGACTAAAATGTAAATTCTAAGAGAAAAGAAAAGAAAATCTCTGTGACACTGGGTTAGTTTCCACAGGTATAACAACTAAAACATAACACTTAAAAGAAAAAATAAAGCACTGGACTTCGTCAAAACTTAAAAATTCTGCTCTTCTAAAGACCCTGTTAAGAAAATGAAAAGGGAGAGGGCTTCCAAGATGGCCAAATAGGAACAGCTCCGGTCTGCAGCTCCCAGCGAGACTGATGCAGAAGATGGGTGATTTCTGCATTTCCAACTGAGGTACCTGGTTCATCTCACTGGGACTGGCTGGACAGTGGGTGCAGCCCACGGAGGGCAAGCTGAAGCAGGGCAGGGCGTCGCCTCACCCAGGAAGCGCAAGGGGTAGGGGGATTTCCCTTTCCTAGCAAAGGGAAGCTGTGACAGACTGTATCTGCAGAAACAGTACACTTCTGACCAAATGCTGTGCTTTTCTCATGGTCTTAGCAATCCGCAGACCAGGGGATATCCTCCCATGCCTGGCTAGGCGGGTCCCACGTGCATGAAGCCTTGCTCACTGCTACTGCGACAGTCTGAGATCAAATTGCGACACTGCAGCTTGATGGGGGGAGGGGCATTCGCCATTGCTGAGGCTTGAGTAGCTCACAAGTGTAAACAAAGCAAGGACTGGGCGAAGCCCACTGCAACTCAGCAAGGCTTACTGCCTCTATAGATTTCACCTCTGGGGCAGGGCATTGCAGAACAAAAGGCAGCAGAGAGCTTCTGCAGACTTTAACGTCTCTGTCTGACAGCTCTGAAGAGAGCAGTGATTCTCTCAGCACAGCGTTAGAGCTTTGAGAAGGAACACACTGCCTCCTTAAGCGGGTCCCTGACTCCCGTGTAGCCTGACTGGGAAACACCTCCCAGTAGGGGCCGACAGACACCTCAAACAGGCAGGTGACCCTCTAGGACAAAGCTTCCAGAGGAAGGATCAGGCAGCAATATTTGCTGTTCTGCAGCCTCCACTGGTGATGCCCAGGCAAACAGGGTCTGGAGTGGAACTCCAGCAAACTCCAACAGACCTGCAGCTGAGGGGTCTGTTAGAAGGAAAACTAACAAACAGAGAGGAAGAGGGGTCTGTTAGAAGGAAAACTAACAAAACAGAGGAACAGCATCAACATCAACAAAAAGGACATCCATACAGAAACCCCATCTGTAGGTCACTAACATCAAAGACCAAAGGTAGATAAAACCACAAAGATGGGGCGAAACCAGAGCAGAAAAGCTGAAAATTCCAAACAGAGGCTGCTTCTCCTCCAAAGGATCGCAGCTCACAAGCAAGGGAACAAAAGTGGACGGAGACTGAGCTTGATATGTTGACAGAAGTAGGTTTCAGAAGGTCAGCATAACCAACTTCTCGAGCTAAAGGAGCATGTTCAAACCAATGCAAGGAAGCTATGAACCTGATAAAACATTCCATGCTCATGAATAGGAAGTAATCTAATATTGTGAAATGGCCATACCACCTGGGAAGGTAATGTGAAGTAGATCCAATGCTATCCCCATCAAGCTACCATTGACTTTCTTCACAAAATTGGAAAAACTACTTTAAAGTTCATATGGAACCAAAAAAGAGCCCACATAGCCAAGACAATCCTAAGCAAAAAGAACAAAGCTGGAGGCATCATACACTTGATCAAACTATACCAAGGCTACAGTAACTAAAACAGCATGGTACTGTACCAAAACAGATATAGACGAAATGGAACAGAACAGAGGCCTGCAATAACACCTACACATCTACAACCACCTGATCTTTGACAAACCTGACAAAAACAAGCAATGAGGAAAGGATTCCCTATTTAATAAATGGTGCTGGGAAAACTGGCTAGTCATACATAGAAAGCTAAAACTGGATCCCTCCTTAGACCTTATACAAAAATTAACTCAAGATGCATTAAAGACTTAAATGTAAGACCTAAAACAATAAAAACCCTAGAAGAAAACCTAGGAAATACCACTCAGGACATAGGCATGGGCAAAGACTTCATGATTAAAATACCAAAAGTAATGGCAACAAAAGCCAAAATAGACAAATGGGATCTAATTAAACTAAAGAGCTTCTGCACAGCAAAAGAAACTATCATCAGAGTGAACGGGCAACCTACAGAATGGGAGAAAATCTTTGCAATCTACCCATCTGACAAAGGGCTAATATCCAGAATCTACAAAGAACTCAAACAAATTTACAAGAAAAAAACAAACAACCCCATCAAAAAGTGGGCAAAGGATATGAACAGACATTTCTCAAAAGAAGACATTTATGCAGCCAACAGACATATGAAAAAAGGCTCATCATCACTGGTCATCAGAGAAATGCAAACCAAAACCACAATGAGATAACATCTCATGCCAGTTAGAATGGTGATCCTTAAAAAGTCAGGAAACAACAGATGCTGGAGAGGATGTGGAGAAATAGGATCACTTTTACACTGCTGGTGGAAGTGTAAATTACTTCAACCATTGTGGAAGACAGTGTGGCAAGACATTGTGCACATGAACCCTAGAACTTAAAAGTATAATAATAAGAAAAAAAAGAAAATGAAAAGGTAAACAACAGAGAAAATATTTGCAAACACGTAACAGAAAGACTTGTGAAGAAAATATACAGAGTGCTCAAATCTTAATATAAGAAAATATGCAACCTAATTAAAAAATGGGAAAAGGGTTTGACTAGCACATTACCAATGAATACATACAGATGGTAAATAAGTGCATGAAAATATGCTCAATATCATTAGTCATTAAGGGAAAACCACAATAAGGTATCACTACACACCCATCAGAATAAGTAAAATTTTTTCAAACTAACAATATCAACTGCTAGTGAGAACACAGAACAACTGAGTCTTTCATACATTGAGAGCAGGAATGCAAAATAGTACAGCCACTTTGGAAAATAGTTTGGCAGCTTCTTATGAAGTAAAATACATCCTTAACGTGCATCCCAGGAATCCCACACCTAGGTATTTACCCAGGAGAAACAAAAACATGTTCGTACAAAATCTGTGCAGGAGTATTTACACAGTTTTATTTACAACTGCCAAAAACATAAACAACTCAAATATCCAGCAACAGGTGAATTGGTAAACAAACTGATATATCCACAAAATGGAATACTGCTCAGCAATGAAAGGAAAGCACTAACACAACACAGAGGAATCTCAAATGCATTATGCTAAGTGGAAAAAAATCAGACTAAAAAGCTGCATACTGTATAATTTCATTTATAAAACATTCTGGAAAAGGCAAAAAAAAAAAAAAAATCACAGGGACACAAAACAGATCAGTAACTGCCAGAGATGAGGGTGAGGAGAGGGGCTGACTGAAAAGGGAGCCAAAAGAACTTTCTGGGTTGATGGAACTATTCTATATCTTGATTGTGATGGTAGTTATACAACTGTGTGCACTTGTCAGAAATCATACAACTGTACACTAAAAAGGGTGAATTTTAAATTTATACCTTTATCTTAAAAAATTCCAAGTATCAAAAGGAAATACAACAAAAACATTTAGTTTTTGAGTACCTCACAACTATGGCAACAGATTCCAACCGAGAAGTGATAAAGGCCTTCGTGATTTCTGGTGCATAAGTGTCTAATAGATGGGGTTCAGTTGATTTCACAAAAGGAACAGATGCTACCATCCTTTGCCACAGAGTTAATAAATAATGAACACTGTTAGGAGCAAATTCCCAATGCTACAAAGAAATAAAGCAGAAGTTATTTAAAATATTACATCTTCCTATAACAAGAATTACAGAACAAAGTTACTAAACATACATTTTTAAATTTTTATTCTTATCAAATAACTAATGAACACTTAATATAGCAAATTTGTAAATGCAAAACAGTATAAAGAAACCAACAACTCTATTATTTTACCACCCGGAGTAACATTAAAATATGACTCTACTTCCCTCTAATCATTCCATGAATATTTTTCAGAGTTGATATAATGTGAAAAATATAGTTTCATAACCTCTCCCTTAAACTTATAAAAAAAACTTTTCATAGCATAATCTGTAAAAATTTTATTTCTTCACATAGTTTTATTATAGTTTCTCAAGCCATTCTTCAATTATTAGATATTTAAGTAGCTTCTCAATTTTTATTATATACATTGCAATGAACTTTTTTACCTAAAACTCTGCAATTAACATTTCCAGCAAAGTAATCAAATTCATAGATATTTCTAAAATACCCCCACCAACCCTTACCAGGAAGTTTTTTAAAACTGGCTACAGTTTAATATAATTACATATTTTTACCTACCTGTAGGCTAGTAATGGTAAAATTAGCAATCAATCTAATAACTTCAGGATATTCTTTCACCGTAACTAATTCTCCCAGCTGATAATTTGTCTTTAAGCGAGCCAAAAATCGACAAAATTCATGATAATTACCTGGATCAGACAAACCCTAAATTATGAGACAAAAAGAAAGCCTTAAAAACAAGCCAACCTACTGACAATAAAATTAGTAAAACCCCAAAGCATCTTAAGTCTCCCAATTCTCATGGGTACTTACTTAAAATACTCTGTGTCAACTGGATAGTTAATAATGTAAAAAAACAGAGGAATTTCTGCTAGGTTTAGTTTTGTCATCAATGATTAATAATAAAGAATCCAAAGTAGAGGTCTTGGAAGAAGATCTGCATCACAATGACTAAACTATAATTTTTGAGAAGCTATTATAGTACACAAAAGCGTGTATGTGTGTGTGTGTGTACTGTGGTTTAAACAGAAGTCAACAAAGGACCTGGAAAATATTTACGATTAAAAGTAAACTCTAGGAAAGAACAATACTCACCAGACTTAAATGGTGTATACTAGCACACAAATAACAGAAATTTTCTGAATTAAACTAATATTTATTGAGTATCTACAGGCACTGTACCCTCAAGCAACTCCGTGTCTCTCCACGTCTCTCGTCATTCAAACAAATTACTGCAATGTTAGGAATAACACTGAACAAATAACTAAAGTTGAGGAGGACAGATTAAAAAAAAAGAACAAAAAAGGTCCTGCCCAGTTGTCTGTAAGCTACTTGAAAAGAGTTTTAGTATGCACTGCAGCTGGCATGAAACAGAATTCATATCTTTGTAAAACTGAAAGTCTCTAAGCAATTTCATTCATACAAGCTCCATGAAATATACAGAAAATAGAATCTAATTATTAAGGACAAATAACCAAAAAAATGTTGTAATCATGGATCTTTAAAACATGTCTGTGATTCTAAAACAACCTAATATTCATACCAACTTTTACAGCCATGAAACATCAACATAAGGATGTTGGAAAATCATTTAAGATAAATTATCAGGTATTAGCATATTATCTTCCACCTATCGGTTGATGATAGTCAGTTAAACTAAAAACTTTAAACTATATTGGTAAAATCCTCTTTATCAGCTAAACAGAAAATTTCACAACTATCCTAACATTGAAAAGATAAAATAAATGCATAACCCATAAAGTACTTCTGAGATATGCAAAAACAACTGCTTTTTGTAGAACATTCTTATTGAACAAAGATATTACATATCACCCCCCAAAATTAATAACCAAGAGAATTAGATAAACCTCCTTAAATCATTTAATCTTTAAAAATCTGTATTTTACAGATATTTTAAACCAAAAACAAAATAAAAAGTAAAACAAAATATTTTATCTAAGCATCCAAAATCATTCAATAGCAGCTTTGCAATTCTCTGAAATGAATATTGGCAATGAAGCTCTAAAGTTAATGCAGAAAAGATTATAAAATCTACAAACTCTTACTTGTCCACAAGAGGGCAAGAAAACATTACTTCATAATTTAAGGCCACTTGCTCCAATATTAACATTCACATTTATATTATGTCTTCTAGTTCAGAAGGTGGACATACTGAATTAATCACTTCAGTAGTTTAAGAAGTGCAAACAAAGAAATGTAATAGAATAGTAAAAGACAGAAGCATTGTAAGATACATAATCTCTAGTCATCTTTGCCTAAAAGAAAAAAATAGGAGAAACACGGAAGTCAGCCATGGAAACAATCATTTTTTAAAACTACCCATCTCTACTATAAATGAGATCTAAGAGCTGAGCATGGTGGCTCATGCCTGTAATCCCAGCACCATGGGAGGCCAAGGCAGGTGGATCACTAGAGGTCAGGAGTTCAAGACCAGCCTGGCCAACATGTTGAAACTCCATCTCTAATAACAATACAACAATTAGCAGGGGTGGTGGTGCATGCCTGTAATCCCAGCTACTCAAGAGGCTGAGGCAGGAGAATCGCTCGAATCCAGGAGGCAGAGGTTGTAGTGGGCCAAGATCGTGCCATTGCATTCCAGCCTGGGCAACAGAGCAAGACTTCATCTCAAAAAAAAAGAAAAGAGCTCTAAGGAAGATAAATATGATACTAAATATTTTCTTCCAGAATCATAATAAATTCATGATGAGTTTATTATGTGCCTTTAGCTGAAAAACTGTATCTGTATATGCTAAGTATTAAATTACTTCATAAATACCTGAGGGTTTTCAAGTATCCTTTTTACTCCCTTAATTAAATTACCAAGGTACTTGGCACGTTCAGGACTGTTAAATAAGGACCTTCTCGTCGAAGCAAACTGAACTAAACATGAAAGTGCCTAAAAAATACCAAAAAAATTTCATTTCAATTTTCAAAGTAACTGTGGCCACATGTAAGGAATACTAGTCTTTACATTTAAAATGAATTTAATCTTAATGCATTATAGAATATAATACATTATAATGCAATATAAAAAGCATTATAGAACATAAAAATAATAAAAGCTAAATATCATCAACCACTTCCACCACCCACAATCCTTCTACCCCATCATTAAAATTCCTATTTGTATGTATTTCCCTCCAATGTTCTTTCATTAACAAAATCTGCCAGTTCAAGGCCTGGACATGCTATACATTTAATAGGCTCTCAATTGCTTATGATGCCCAGTTCCATTTTCTAATGAATCAGGTTTTCTACCAAAAACAAAACATGGTTTTGTGGTACAGGCATGTTTGGAAAACAGTGCACATTATGTACTGTGGTATCCAGTGGGAGGGGGTGGGAGAACCTGTAATTTAATCCAGCATATTCCAAATTTAGTTGGTCAAGGAATATTTTACACCATCCATTAGCATCTTAAAAAACAGTCTGAAAATGGTGCTGGAAAAGGTAGGTACTTTATGGTAAGAAAAGAGACAAAAATCAAATGATGCCGTTTTTAGATGTGCTCCAGTTTGCCACAGCCCCTACCGTTAGAACCTAAAACCCAAATTAAAAACAAAAACAAAAAACTCCTTAGAAAACTCAGAAGTACAAGCACGGGAACCACTGGTGTATTAAAAACACCTGGGGCTTGCGGGCAAAAAAGACCTGTGTTTGAATCTCAATGCCAGTATCTTCTTTGTTGCCCTGGGGGAAGTCACTTAAGTCAATCTGGGTCTGTTTTCTGTTTTTCTGGGTCTACATAGTGGGGATTTTATTATTTATCTTTCAGGGCCACTTTGAGGATTAAGTGAGATAAGTATCACACAATAAATAGGACATGTCCAGTAAATGTTCGTTACTATCTCTCAAAGCAGCTGTTTTCTACTTTATTTTTTAAGCACTGGTACCTTTTTTGTTTTATCCCAAAACGTAATTACATGAAACCATGATTTTTAAACAACTAAAAGCAAGACTGTTGTGACTGAAAGACAGAAGGCTGTGGCCCCAACTGGAAACATGAGGTACCCTAAGAAACCCAGTTTAAAAAGCACTACCTTAAACTCCAGATTCAAGAGAAGACATGTTTTTTTTTTTTTAAAGGACATTTCTGTGAATGCTTTCCTCCCTTTTAGGCAACAAGATACCTAAACATAAATATTGCTGATATATACTTTAAATCTGGAATATGTTTTTTCAGAAAATGGCAATATAAGAACTCCCCAGCTTTACTTCTGCAAGCTTAAACATTAAACTTAACTTACAATTTTTTAATAACCTTGACATATTTGCTTTAGGCTCCGCAAAGATGGAGCTCAGAGTCTCAAAGTTCTATGTAACTATGGAGTATCAAGAACTTTTTAAGCATGCAACAGAATTTACACTGATTCAAAAAACAAATAAATAACTGGCTTGATGCACACAATTCAAGTGAGTAGATTCCCTTCCTTTCTTATTCAGAGATCTGAAGGGGGTAGCCTTCTGTCAAACCTAAGACATGGACCAGGCAAGGTTGAGGAAGAGTTAAAGAGTAGTAGAAGGGAAAGTTCTTGTGTGGTGGTCAGCTGCTGGACTTAGGCCCTATGGGAACTGAGTAGGAAAAAAATATATATTTAGAGATTGGGAGGTTGTCCTGGCTCTGGGCAAGAGCTAAATTAACAGTTACTGGTTCTAGGCTCACCCATGAAATAAATTTATGTAATGTTGACACAACAAAAATCTGACAAATAGTTTAAGCAGTATACATCCCAGAAAATATAAGAACTTATTGTGAAATGTAAACTCAATTGAATATATAGACAGAATTTTTGAAGTAAATATATACCACTCCTTATTTAAATTAGATAAAAATCACAGGTATTTTTAATGAAGTAATGAATGACTTTTACTTACTAACTGAGACAGTAGTGGTGGAAGTGAATGATACAAATTGAAGAAAAGATCCAGTGTTTCTGGTTCCAGGAAAACTGGGGAAAAAAAATATTTTCTAACACCTTTACTTTCAATTCAGAGACCTTAACAAAGTAAGACAATATCACACAAACTGAGAAATCCAAGCCCTCTGCATGTGGCCATTCCTTCCAGTTAGGCCTATTTTTAATTCCTAGCTATTTTCCTTTGAAAGCTGAAATAATACAGAGAGAAATTAACTAGTGAGGCTCTTCCTCATTTCTATGTAGCACTACAGCTTGAACTGGAAAAATCTTCTATTTTCATTTGTAATAAAGTAATATAAACATTGAGAATTCAAACAGTATCAAAAAGTAAACAGTACTAAAAAGCTTATAATAAAAAAAAAAACTGTACCCTGTTCCATTCCAACTGCTTTTCAACTCTTTTGCTATAGTTACATTCATAATAGCCTATATTATTTCTTCATTTGATTGTTTTACTTTAGACATTTCTTCATTTGATTGTTTTACTTTAGACATCAACTGTAACGCTTTAGCTGTCTAATCACTAATGCCACATCCTTACCACTCTCTCCACAATCAATCCTCTCAAAAACCCATCCACTATCATCACAATTTGTGATTAAATCAATTCTATGTGTTTACATGTATTATGACTATGTACATAATATTAACGGCTGAGCTGTAATTACATCACATTTCTAATACTCACTGGACTTAATCATAGCATCTTTTCTGTGCTTAGTTGTGTATGTGTCACTAATTCTCTCCAAATGCTCTGACGGATTGGCACAATGTTCTTCATGACATGTTCCACAACATCAATAGCATCAAATAACCCATCATTTGCATTCACCCACCCCTACTTCCCAGAGCCTTCAACGTGAACTGGTTGCTCCTTAACTTTATTGTACAACTGTAGGCTTTTTATGTCTTTCACTGTCATCTTGTGTTCAAGTGCCCATTTCCCAAATTCCATTATCTTCCACTTTCTTTGTTTGTACATCAAGTAGCTTCCTGAGAGCAAGTACATAAGGGACAAATTTTGGAAGGACTTGCATATCTGAAAATGTCTTTATTCTATCTTAGATTTGATAAGTTTGGTCTAGTTTGGAAACAATTTTCCCTCAGGAGCCTGAAGATACTACTCTGTTGTCTTCTAGCTTTCAGTGCTGCTGTTGAGAAGTCTAATACCTTCTTGACCCCAATCCTTTGTAGGAGGAGACTTAGACTTACTCTTTTCTTTCTGGTAAGTTTTAGAATTTTTTCTTTATCCTTACCATTCTAAAATGTCATGATTATAAAACTTAGTGAATATCTTTTTTCATTCATTATGCTGGGAACTTGGTGGGATCTTTCCGTTCAAAAAATGCACACGCTTCAGCGCTGAGAACATTTTGGGTTACTGTCTGTTGGCAAATTTCCTTCTTTCTCCATCCTCTCTTTCTAGAACTCCTAACCACCACACCTCCTTAACTTCATCTTCTAGTTTTCTTATGTTTTTCCTATCAAACATCTCCTTGCTTTTTTGTTCTACATTCTATATTGTGTTAACTTTGTCTTACAATTTTTCTACTGGATGTTTTATTTTGGCAACTGTCCTGTAAATTTGGAACATTCTCTGAACAATATCCTGTCCTTGTTTCAGGGATGCATTATCTTATCATCTCTCTGGGCATATTCATTATATCTTTCTGAAGTTTATTTCTACTTTTCACCTTGTCTCTGTTACTACTAACTACCCTCCATTTTTAAAATTAAACTTTTTGAGATAACTGTAGATTCATATGCAGTTGCAAAAAATAATACAGAAAGACACCGTGAACTCCTACCCATTTTCCTACAATGGTAATTTCTTGCAAAGCTACAGTATAATATCTCAACCAGGAAACTCACATTGATACAATCCACAATCTTATTCAGATTTCCCAGTTTTACATCTACTTGTGTGTGTATAGATCTGTGTGTTTAGTCGGTGAAATTTTTTTTTACATGTATTGGTTCATGTTTCCATCATCATAGTCAAGATACAGAACACAAAGTCCCCTTTTGTTGTTGTAGTTTCTGATCTCCATATTAGAAGTTTTTCACAAAATTAATACTGTTCCTCTATTATATCTGATATCCATGATTATGAGGCCTCTCCAATTTTATTTCTTGAGAAAAAAAAAACTCTGGTCTTGGAAAGTAAAGTAGAACAGGTAGAGAAAAGGGAGGAAAAGGCAGTCACCTAGCTGCACAGGTGGTAGAGAAGATCCTGGAGAATTTAACTGTTCTGAGTATAGACTTTTTATCAAACCCCGTCAGCCCCGTTTCCCAATTCTGAGTTCAGAGGTACCTTAGGTGCCACCATTTTTCTGGAACATGGGAGAACAAATTAGCTTCCTTTTTCTTGGTATCCCTTTCTATAAGCAAGTTGCAACTCTGCTCTTCTAGGTCACTTAATCTAATTCATTCTCTTTATAACACTGAAAAAAATGTTGACATCTCTTGACAACTCTTCATACTAAACTTTTTTCTTTCTCATGACGACTCTTCATATTAAACTTTTTTCTTACTTGATCTCCAAGTTGTTGAAATCTGCACTGTGCAAAGATCATTTGCAGAATCATCTATTGAACTGCCAATGAAGTCAAAGTAAAGGCAGTTAAGGACCAGTTTCAAGACCTTCATTACCAGATTTTGCTAACATTGATCCTGAAGGTTTAAAGGTTTGGCGGCCGACACCTGAAAATGATCATAAACAGAGTGGAATCCTGTCCATTTAGCTCTAGCGCGGTCCTTGTTTTTCTTTTTTCCAAAATCAAAATATGGAGGTTACTATAATACAAATTAGAGAAAACATTTCAATATTAGCCATCAGCAGCTACTTCAGGTTACAAATTCATTTGAGCTCTTTTTTTAATTCCTAGCAAAAAGATAACCATACACAGGGAAACTATATTGCTTAATACTGTGCCTTTATGTTGATGACCCTTCACACCAAACTTTTTTCTTACTTGTTCTCCAAGTTGTTGGAATCTGCACTGTGCAAAGATCATCTGCAGATTCATCTGCTGAACTGCCAATGAAGTCAAAGTTAAGGCAGTTAAGGACCAGTTTCAAGACCTGCATTACCAGATTTTGCTGACATTGATCCTGAAGATTTAAAGGTTTGGCCAACACCTGAAAAAAGTATAAAATCAAAACACTGTGAAATACATCAATAAATTTACACTTCATGAATTAAAATAATTTTTCAATGTCAAATGAAAACTAGTAAAAGAGTTTACAAAGTTATACTGTTCCATATATGAGGAAGTAATGTTACTTTCTTCAAGAAAAACTGGGTTAACTTCATGCATAAAACAATCACATTCAGCTAATAAAGGCAATCAGAACTCTGAATGTTGGAGGAAACTCACAAAGCTTCTGGAGAACAATCCTATTTCCAAAATAATGCCCATTCTCATACAAACCGAAAACAATTATACCTTTTAGAGATATATTGTGAAATATTTATAGAGGAAATTATATGAAATTTGGGATTCTGCTTGAAAAATAAAGAAGTGGGTAGGTAGGAATAGAGGGAAAACAAGATTGGCCATGAGTTGCTACTGTTTAACTGGCTGATAGCTTAACTGGTTATTCTATCTACTTTTGTGTATGTTAAAATTTTCTATGCTAAAAGGAAAATTTTAAGATAATAGAAGGTCTTTGGGTCTGACATAGTGTGGCAGTTGTCATGTTACTATACCAAAGAATTGAAATAATTGGAAACTAGTGCTTATTGGAGCATACTTGCAGAAATGCTGTATTATACCAATTATCAGGCTTGAACAGCATGATGGAGTCTCTATATCACACAAGAGAAGACAGAATCATTATGAATCATGCTATCACTAATATTCAATAGGGCACTAAGTAGCAAATGGGGAAATACTATTTCCCAAAGATGTTGTTAAAGTCAATGATCTTGGCTAAACTATGAATAAATTTTGATAGTTGATGAATCAGGAAAATATTGTCATTTCATTTTTCATCTGTATCCTATCAAAATATAAGCAAGCAGATAAAGAAACTAATACTCAATTCGCTTCCGTAATTAAAGAATCTACACTGTGAAGGCAATGAAACTGCTACCTAAAGATAAGTTATTAGATTCCCTTTAGGTTTCACCTTCTCATATGCCCAGTGAGTAAAAGTGAATTTTTTGGAACTGCTTACAGATTTATGCAAATTTACTATACTTAAGTCTGTCCACAATAATTCTTTAGAAGGCAGAATTGGGGGGAAAATCCAACTGAAATTATTTTGAAACTCTTAAAATTTCCCAAATATTCTAACTAGGAAGTTGAATTTGAATTATTAAATAACTTACCTCTTTTAAAAGAGAGCATGCTAGCACTAAAATGTCTTTGAGAGAAGTATCACGAAATGAGGTAGCTATTTTCCTGTGTTTTGCTGAAGGTCTAGAATAATCAACCTAAAAAGATAAAGATGAAATTAGTTTAACCAGACCTATGAAAAAGCAAAGCAAAATTTATTTAAAAAAAAAAAAAAGGAAATAAACTTGAGTAGAACCCAAGTTTCTAGACTGTTTTAATTTAATGTTCTTCCTACAACCCAATTCTAAAAACCAAAGTGAATCACACTTTCAGAGGCAGTATAAATACAGATTACAAAATAAAAATAGATAGTAAGACTATTAACTCCTGAACCACGTACCATATTTTACACCATGCAGTAACAACTTCCCTGTTCCTCACATTCCACCTGTAAAATGAGAAATCTCCAAGACAATCTCCAAATTCTAACTTTGTCTATGAATAAGCAAACTGAATTAGCCACAGAAAAATTCTCCTAGTTGAAAGTGATATTCCTATATATACCATATATGTCATTGGTTCATATATCTTTTGATACTATGAAAACAAGGCAGAAATTATAAATAATCAGAAATCTGATTTATTATATAAGGAATAGTATATTCCCTCTGAATACTTTATTAGCTAATGACAAATAATTTTTAAGAATAAACTAAGACTAGCTATTAGGCCTCTAACCTAAAATGTAGTATATTCAAAATTATACTATTAATACCATTAATATTCCCATTTATCAATAGGAAACAGGCAAAGCTAAAGCCTGACACTCATGCTAACATTAACACTATGGTCTACAGTTGCTATAGCATTACCATTTATTTTTATTGCTATGTGGAAGAAGAAAACAAACCATTTTCCTTGCTAGTGTTTATAGATCGGAAAGAAGCAACGGGCTCAAAACTGATTATGTGATACCTCCTAAGCTCCAACATATAATTTAGATTATACTCAATTGCCATATTTCCTTATAAAACATGAAACATAACAGAAGGCCAAATGATTACACAAAGTAGTTATGGAACCTATACCCAATGTGTAAGATTTAAATTAGCATTTTCAGTGTTCCTAATTTTTTTTTTTCAACTTTCATTTTAGCTTGTGGGGGTACATGTGTAGGTTTGCTGCCTGGGTACACTGCATGTTGCTGAGGTTTGGGGTATGAATGATCCTGTCACCCAAAAGTTAGTTTTTCAACCTTTACTCCTTTCTATCTCTCCCCTGTCTAGTAGTCCCCAGTTTCTATCGTTGCCATCTTTATGTCCACGAGTATCTAGTGTTTAGCTCCCACTGGTAAGTGAGAACATGTGGTATTTGGTTTTCTGCTCCTGCATTAATTTGCTTAGGATAAGGGCCTCCAGCTGCATCCATGTTGCCGCAAAGGACATGATTTCATTATTTGTTATGGCTGCATAACATGCTATGGTATACGCGTATTTTCTTTATCCAATCCACCATCAGTGGGTACTAAGGTTGATTCCATGTCTTTGCTGTTCTGGATAGTACTGCAATGAACATGTAAGTGCATGTTTCTTTTTGACAGATTTGGGTTTTGGGGGATATATACTCAGTAATAGGATTGCTGGGTTGAATAGTACTTCTATTTTAAGTTCTTTGAGAAATCTCCAAACTACTTTCCACAGTGGCTGAACTAATTTACATTCCCACCAACATAAGAGTTTCCTTTTCTCCACAGCCTTGCTAGCATCTGTGGCTTTTTGACTATTTAATAATGGCCATTCTGACTGGTGTGAGATGGTATTTCATTGTGGTTTTGACTTGCATTTCTATGATGATTAGTAACGTGGAACATTTCTTCATGTTTTTTGGCCACTTGCCTTCTTTTGAGAAGTGTCTGTTCACGTTTTCTGCCTATTTTTAATGCCTCTCTTGATTAATTTAAATCAAGTCTCAAAGTCTGTCTCTCCTACACTTTCCCCAATATATAAAAATATTTTTCCTTAATACAAATTAAAAGCAAAGAGCATTATAATTGCAATTTATAAAGTATTCTTCACATATTATTTCGCTTATTCTTTCAAACTAATCTGTGAGACACACTTTATCTTTTTAAAACACGAGTTTTGAAATAAAGGACAACTTTAAAAGATGAGAAATTCAAGTTTACAGGCACACTATCTTAGACTAACTTCTCACTCTTATCATATCCATAATATGGAAAGAAACTTAGGTGTACTGAGCACTTTCTACACACTAAGTCCTGTGCAAGTTAATATAATCTTAGTAAGATCCATGTAAGTAGTTGTCATTCTCACTTTACAGGTAACAATATAAGTTTTAAAGAAGCTAAGAAGTTTGTAAAAGGTAAAAATAGAGCAAAAATACCACTCCACGTCTTATCCCAGAGTTATATTAAAGGACTGCATGCTTGTTTCACTTGGGTTACTCATTTAGATATCCAATCTTTTAAGAAGAAGGATTGCACATCCATTTTCTATTGCATATATATACCTCTACCTCGGAGGCACGGGATGTTTTACTTCTTAATGACTAGATAGCGAATATACTCCAGGAACAGAAACTCTAGCTTCTAGAACAGCAGGATATCTTATATAATCCTCCTAACTTTTAGGAAAACTCAAGCATAGATCCTATTCTTAAAAGACACATCCTGTTATGGATACTACATGAATTTATCTGGCTCATATCTGATAACCAGAATATTTAATTATCCTCATGCATTATAGATCTCTCTACTTCCTGGTTCAGAAATGCTTAACAAATGCTAGCTGAAATTGTAAATGTCATAAAATTAGGCTGAATGAAATGTCTCCACAGAAGCCATATATATTTTTCACCATATAAAGCCAAAATCACACTTCAGACCTTAAAGCTTTTCTTAAAAGGTGCCTGGTTCAACGCAAGAAAAGCTTGGACTATCTTATGCCAGAAGGTAAGAAAGAACCCAAAGAATGGTGAGGAAATGTCAATGGACACAAAGATCAGCTTGAAAAAGGTCCTATTGGTCAAATCTTGGAAAATCTGGGCAACAAAACAAATAATGTTAGCAATGAATTATAACCTATTAAAGAAAATGAAACAAGGAATCCATAGTAATACAAATTAACAAATCAGTAAGTTGAAAGTCTGATAAGGAACAAAATATTTTCAGAGACTTCAGTACCTTTTCACAAAATATGTATTAATTACAACAGGGAAAAAATAAGTCTACAATGGGGGAGCCTGGAGGAGTTCATCTTAATTAAGAGATCAAAGTGAACATCATCAGTAATGTGACAAATCATCACGTGCTTCCTGATAGGAGGCAATGAGATGGCCACAGTATCATTTCTGTGACATTCCTGACAAATTCACATAAGCCGAATCTAATAATGAGGAAATAGACAATCCCAAATTGAGGGACGTTTTACAAAACAACTGGCCTATAATCTTCATAAATGTCAAGGCCATGAAAGTGAAAAAGATTGAGAAATTCTTCTCCAGTTTGAAGGAGACTAATAAAACAGAAGAACTAAATGTGATACACAATCCTAAACTGGTTCTTTTGCTAGAAAGAGTGTTTTGAGGATAACCGGTGAAACTTGAATGGGGTATGAGGATTAGATAGTGGGAATAATTCCAGTGTTCATTTTCTGATTTTAACATTGTATTGTGGTTATGTAAAAGAACGTCTTTGTGTGTAGGAAATACACTAAATTCCCTGGTGGTGGAGAACCATGTCAGCAACTTAGTGTCAAATAGTTGAGAAAAAACTTCTCTGGACTATACTTACAACTTTTCTGCAAGTTTGCTAGTTTAAAAAAAGCAGCTAACCTATTGCTCTCTAAACTACACATTTACCAGAACTTCACATTAACTAGTCTTATTTCAGTGATACTCTAAACACAGCAAACTCTCATTTCCAGAGCAGACTATTTTCCTATTATGCTGAGAAGCAGGAAACGAATCAAACTGCTAGTTTCAAAATTAGCAAAAAGTTGTAAAATGAAGATGACAAGTACATGAGATTATCATACTATTCTCTTCACTTTTATGAAAATATTTAAATGTAGTTTTTTTGGAAGGAAGCTACAGTTCTTCAGACATATTTAGAGTTCAATAAGATTATCCCTGTCATAACATCCCTGCCGACACAGTATTATTAATAGATACCTATGTACACACAAACACACAGCACATACTCTGGGGCGGAGGAGGCAGGAAGGTGACAGCCGTGATAAGTTAAGAGATCACTTTAAATTTTAGAAATCCATCCTATAAATCTAAAAATATTTTCTAATTTCTTATTGAACACAAGTAGAAAATGGTTCTTTTGTATTTTTTTATGCACATGGCTATATTGTTACTCCAAAGGGAGCTGGCAAGTGATCCTGGGTATGCAAGCTCTTCTACATACATACATCTATATGTGTGCATGGACATGCATGCACACACGCAAACACGTACCACTGAAGATGACAGTTTTTAAACACTACATTCCTCTTTATTATAAAATTATTCCACATAGAAAGCAACTTCTGCTTTCATTCTGTTTAGAACCATGTTATGTACAAACGAACATGTTCAGATCATAAAAGCACTGTTGGGGAGAAGTACAGCTTCTGAAAACTCTCCTGGTACAGGGTAAAAATCCAAGCTAGGAGCCATAAAGTGAAAAAAGGCCTGTTTTGTTTTTTAATATAAACATTTATTATTATAAAATCAACTGGTTTGATAAGTAATTATTTTAAAAATGTTAATACCAATACATGTTAAGTATACAAATTAGAATTCTTTTGAACAAACAAGTTCTTATCTAAAGAAGAAACAAAACTTCCTTAATAGTTGGAATAAAATCTATCCCTGAATAGTTAGTGGATATTACACAGAAATATTTATATTATGTTCCTCTATTCCCAGTACCTATTTTTACAGAATCAGGAGAATTTAAATAGAATATCAAAATATAAATGACAAATAAATATCTGTACAATATTTTTATCGAAGACACGTCTTATCAGTGCACAAATGCCTAAATAAGAGGTTACGAATATGACATAATACGGAAGAACTCCATTCTCTCAATTTTAGAAAGGGGGACTTTTCTGAAGACAAATGTCTGAAGTTCAGCTACTACGAT